GGGGCTGGGGATTTAGCTCAGCGGCAAAAGTGCCTGCCAGGCAAGCACAAGGTCATGAGTTCGGTTCCCGGTACTGGAGAAAAACCAAAATAAATAAATAAATAAAATAAAATTGTACTTTTAAGAAAAAAACACTGTACGTGCTGGACACAAAACTGACTCACATCTTTTTTCTTTCCAGAAAACTCACTCAAAAATTTTTTTTCTAAGAGTGTTAAAGACAGAATAAGCTGGGCCGGTGGTTTTCACCTGTAGACTCAGCCGTGACCTTTCCTCTTGTCAGGTGGGCCTGGGCCCGTGCATGGCCAGCACCCTTCACAGGTAGGAAGTCCCCCTGCCTGGCACCTGTAAATTGAACCCTCTCTTTCCATAGATTTGCACCCCTAAAAAATCACATAAATATACCCACTCCAGGCTGTGTGCTTCTCTCTAAGGGCCTGCATTCTATTCTGAGAGTGTATTTTAAAAATGCTGCCCAATAAACTCTTTTATGCCCCTAGTGATACATCTTGATATTTCTTTTTCTGTGATAGACATCAGCGAAACTGCAACCTGCCCTGTGGCTGGGGTGAGTCAAGTTCCCCTTCCCTGCCTTGGGGAACTTCCTCAGACCCAGTCCAGAGACAGTAGGTCCTTCTGGAACCCACTCATATGTGTTTCTCTTTTCGGAATACAGCACGGTGTGTAATTCCAGGAATGAACAAGGATGGTCTCTGGCAAGCAGAGTTGGGGAACAGGAAAGGAGACTAAATTCTCAGTGTCTGCCTTGTTGCCCTACTTGAATTTCTAAATCTTTCTTTATATGTTTACTTATTTATGTATTTATTTTTTGTCTTTTTTGAGACAGGGTCTCCCTATGCAGTTCAGGCTGGACTTGAGCTCACTTTGTAGCTCAGGCTGGTCTTGAACTCACGACAATCCTCCTGCCTCAGCCTCCCGAGTGCTGGGATTACAGGCATGAGCCACCACACCTGGCTCTAAACCTTTTTTAAAACAATTTTGTTTTATGCTTTTTCTGGGGGGGTACTGGGTGTCGAATTCAGGACCTCCCATTTGCCAGGCAGGTGATGTGCCCCTGAGAGCTATATCACTCGCCCCTGCTTTTGTTTTTTGGGACAGGATCTTGCTATGTAGTGTAGGCTGGCCTTGAATTCACTATATAGCCCAGGTTGGCCTGGAACTCAAGGCAGCCCTCCTGCTTCAGCCTCCTGAGTGCTGGGGATACAGGTATGTGCCACCAAGCTCGGCTTTAAACCATTTTTAAAGATCATACATTTAAACTGGTCATGGTGGCCCATGCTCATAATTCCAGAATTTGGACCAATATCTATTCTATAGTAGATATTGGAAAATGGGAAGAAAATGTTCAAATGAGAAGGGGAACAAGTGAAGGGAGAGGGGAAAGGAAAAAAGGGACAAAGAAAAAGAAAAGAAGAAAGCCAAGTGACCTCAAGGCCAGCCTGAACTGCATAGAGAGACCCTGTCTCAGAAAGACAAAAAAAAAGGATAGAAGAAAAAAATGGAGGCTGGGGATATAGCTCAGCAGCAAAAGCACTTGCTTGGCAAGTGCAAGGTCATGAGTTCAATTCCCAGTACCAAAAAAAAGGAAACAAAGCTTTCATAAATGAGGGGAGGAGGAGTTGAAGGGAGGGGAAGGGAATGGGGATAAAACAAAGCAGCAAGATATATCATGTACAAATTTCCTATAATGAATATTATCATTATGTATACCCAAACTGTAGCAATTAAAAAAAAAATGCAGCTGGGTGTGGTGGTGCATGCTGGTAAGCCCAGCACTGGGGAGGCTGAGGCAGGAGGATTGCCACAAGTTCAAGGCCAGCCTGGGCTAGAGTGAGTGTTATGGTTTGTGTATGCATGTCCCCCCAAATCCTCATGCAGTCATGGGTGGGCTTCTAGGATTTGTGATTGATCCATGATCCAGTGCTGGGATTACGGGTGTGAGTGCTACACCTGCCCTGGGGTGGGTAGTTTGAACACAATGTAAAGGAGAGAGAGGCTGCTTGCCTCCACTCCTCCCTTTTGCTGTTGTTGCTTTTGCTGTCTTCCACTGCCATGAACATTTCCCCTCTGCCATGTGCCACTCTGCCTTGTAGCCAGCCAAGTATGGACTGAAACCTCCACAAACTGTGAGCTAAATACACCTTTCCTTCCTTCATTTTGGGTGTTGGGTATTTTGTCTCAGCAACGAGAGAAAAGTAACCAAGACAGTGAGTTTAAGGCCAGCCTGAATTACAGACCAAGATCCTGTCTCAATAAATAAATAAGGCCGGGGATATAGCTCAGTGGTATAAGCACCTGCCTGGCAAGTGCAAGGTCCTGAGTTCGATTCCTGGTACCTAAATAAATAAATAGTTAACAAATTCTAGGGGGAAAAAATCCAGTAGGAGGAAATAGATGAAAGCAGAAAAAAAAAACAAAAAAAACAGATTGGCAGGTGGTAACTGTTGGAGCTGAACAATTGCTCCTCCAATCTCTTCTCAGATGTATCAGAAAATCTCAGTAGTAAACAGTTTCTTGATAATGCTCATGAGTCAATCCATCTGCCAGAACTCGGGGGCACCCTCCTCTCCAGCCACCCAGCTGAGAAAGTGACTCTCACCTACATGTCAGCTTCCCAGTGTTCCTGCCCCCTGACACTGAAGCGGATTTGAGGACAAAAGAAGTAAAGAGTAGGAAAGGTTAGTTGAGAGAAAGCTCCTGACAGAAGAGGGGTGTGGACTGGCCAGGGATATAGCTCAGTGGCATAAGTGCCTGCCTGGCAAGCACAGGTCCTGAGTTCGATTCCAGGTACCAAAAAAACAAAAAACAAATTTGGGGCCGGGGACAGAGCTCAGCGGCATAAGTGCTTGCCTGGCAAGCCTGAGGTCATGAGTTCGATTCCTGTACCAAATAAATAAATAAATAAAAAGGAGTGTGGAAAGGGAGTTGCCGTGGCCGAGGCTCCTGCTAAGGGGCACTTTATACAGCAAAGCCACAAGCTGGCTAGCTGTGGGTCAAACTACAATTAGTCTGTAGGATTACAAGTGCAGCTACTTAGCTAGTGTTGGCCCAGTAGGGAATCAAGGCATGTAACAAGGGCAGACCAGCGCACACCATTAACTTCAGCCTGTCTGTAACTTCCAGCTGGAAAGAACAAAGGCATTCCTGCAGAGGGAGGGGAACGAGCAGGATGTGCTGGTCACCCGCCCCTGGGTCTGATGCCTCTCTGGGCCCACTGGACTGGGCGGTGCTAATCACAGAACAATCTCAGCTGCTGTTTGTCTCCAGGGCGTCTGGCAGGCCTGGCCATCCGGTCTCAGTTTTGAGGCCGGGCTCTCTTCAGTCGCTCCAGCCACATCTTTATGCGTCTCATGTTCTGCACTGACCTCTCTCTGACTGCTGATTAATCTCTGTCTCATTTAGCTGTCTACAATAGTCTCATTCCTCTCCCCTGCTGTGTTTTGTAACTTTAATAGCTTTCTAACATACTATATACTTTTTTTGTTTGTTTTTTGTTTTTGAGACAGGGTCTCACTATGCAGTTCAGGCTGGCCTTGAGCTCACTTTGTAGCCCAGGGTGGTCTCGAACTCGCAATGACCCTCCTGTCTCAGCCTCCCCAGCGCTGGGATTACAGACGTGCGCCACCACGCCCGGCGCTACAATTACTTACTGAGCCCTGCTCCTCATGCCCCCTGTACCTCAGTGTATTAATGCTTATTCTCTAATAAAACTGTTCCATCCCCTTCCACATCTGTGGAGGTAGAAAGAGGATTATTTATTTATTTACTGCAGTACTGAGGATCGAGCCCAGGGCCTTCTCACTGAATTACCGCCCTAGCCTTTTCAAAAAAATTCATTTATTTATTCAGGAAGGGTATCTAAATTGCTAGGTTGCTCGGGCTGGGCTTAAATTTGCCATCCTCCTGCCCCAGCCTCCCAGAGTGTGGGATTACCAGCACGTGCCCCTGCACTCTACCAAAAGTTCTATTTTTAATTGTTTCTCAGACATTACATAATTTGATTATTATGTCTACTGTTTATCACATCTCTCCGCACAGAAGGCAAGTTCCGAATGCTCAAGAACCTATGCGAGGGTCTGTTGGTGGATATTTACAATGACATCTATGGCTCACATTATATATTCTTACCGGGCAGAGCTGATATACAGTTTAAAACAGCATTCTGGAGTTAGACTGGCTGATTTCAAATCTCAATTCTGCCCTCTACTAGCTCTGTAATCACAGACAACTAAGTCACTTGGCCTCTGCCGTGCCGGCAAAGTGGGGATCCGGGGATCCCGCAGGGCCTGCGAAATGAGGTTAACCCTGCTGCCCTGCCTTCAGTGATGGGAGTATTTCCACTAGTCCCCAGATGAGGCCTTCCAGATGGGAGTGGCCGCTCGGCGCCGGGCGCCTCACTGCGAGACCAGGGAACCCCCAAAGTGTCCGGGGCCGCACAGACCGCGAAGCGCGGAGGCTGGATCCCCGCCGGCGACCGGAAGGAGGTGGGTCTGGACGGGCGGAAAGCACCGGGAGGGAAGCGGCTGAACGGCCAGAGAAGACGGCGATGCGGAGGAGGGGCCGGCGGCGGAAGGGTCGGAGCAGGGCGCGGAGAGACCGCAGGTGACCGGGGGTCGGGGCGGGACGCCTCACGACCGGGGCCAGGGCGCCGGGGTTGGGGGTCGGCGAGACCGCGGGGG